CTCTAAACCTACAATCCATACCGTCCCTAAGAAAAAGGTTTTCATCAAATTACCATATAATGGGGAAATAAATAGTAGGATTTTGAGACAAAGGTTGAATTCCATCATCCGTAGAACCTACTATGCAGCCCAGCTTGTAATTGTCGAAAAGGCTAAAAATATGCTTCACTGGAAACCTCAAAAGTGCACAAGTGATTATATAACATCCCATACAATTTACCAATTTTCGTGTGTGTGTGGACATACATACATAGGGAGGAGTAATCGCGCGTTGCACGTGAGAGTGGGAGAGCATATCCCAAAGTGGTTAGGAAAACAGATGAATTGTGACAAGCCCATAGATGCAGGTGCCAGACTACCAACTTCGTCTATAGCTAAACATTTAATCGATATGAACCATAAGGTTGATGTTAACTCAGCCTTTAAAATCATCTATAAAAACGGTCAAGGACGTTTACTGAAATACGCTGAGGCTATAGCCATTCATAAACTTAAGCCCCCCTTGTGTATTCAAAAACAGTTTGTTATTACTCTTAACCTACCTTGGTAATCCTTATTTGATTGGATTACCAAACGTTTGTGTTAATTATTCTTAATTCTTTTTTTTTCACCTTGTTTAATTTAACTTTTCCATATATATTGACTTGACAAGTAAATGTGTGATCAGATTGTTCGAAATGTATAGCGCTAATACATCACATTTTTCAGATAATCTCCGTCTTCTAATAATGCTGTCACAATTGTAAGAACCTGAAGAGAAATTTTTGAGAAGAATATTCTTCATTCAGATTGACTTTTAATTCATAATATGGGAATATTCCACACTATCAAATACTGTTTAATTTAAAACTTTTTGGAAGAAACATGTACAGCTTTACTCGGTGAGTTTGAAACGCATAGTTTTCATATGTAGTGCTAGTTTGAAGAGTGGTGACACACTGTTTACTAATTTAGTGCAATTAAAGTAGAGGGTATAAGTATAAAACTTGGGCACTGTAGTAGAGCATAACTCCATTATGGATAAGATTTTATTTTGATAAATCACACAGTGTTGTACAGTAATGTTAACTGATGATGTTTCGAGCAGAAACTATTGCTCATAATCATATCAAGTTACTCACTCACACAACTTATTTTCTTCATTTATATACATGTGTGGAGTCGATTAGATATTGGAATAAAATTCAATATGAGATAATGTATATTCAGAAATAATAATACGAGTGTTATTGATCAATTACAATTATGTGATTTATCAAAATAAAATCTTATCCATAATGGAGTTAAAGTAGAGGGATTGAATTGCAACTCTACGTATCAAAATGGAACAGCACATGGAATGATAGTCAAGACTCTATAGGAGTAAGATGAAACTGACTACTATCGTTGATGATATTCCTAATTACGGTGAACTCGATTATGTGTCGGACTAGACGTTGGGAGTGGGAAGACAGGAATACGTTAGACTGATAAGATGGCTACGGAAAATCTGGACTTCTGCAAGCGATTTATGTTTAATGTCATGCAAACACGAATACTTACGGGTAAAAAGACAATAATCTGGCAGAAGAGGTAGGCAGCAAAGACAGAACTTCAGTTAAACACAGAGAAGATAGAGGTGATGAAGATAACCACAAACCAACAACAACATACACCAATCACTACCTATGGGAGAAATTTGAAAGAGATCACTTCTTCCACTTATCTAGGCAGCATCGTCTCAACTACAGGCAACAATACGGATGAGGATCTCAAAACCAGAATGGGAAAGACAAAGCACACTTTTTCCACTGTGAAATCGGTGTGGAAATCTGCCGCACTCACTCAGGATAAACAACAAAATTCGGATTTTTAACGCCAATGTTAAGTGAGTTCTTCTATATGGGTCACAGACATGCTGCTCACGTCACGGAAAGCATTTTATCGTCAGCTGCCCCATAGTGCAGATCAGACGGTCATAAAGGATTGGCAGTAAGAGACTCTGGGGATGAACCAAGCAAGAACCTATTGCTCAACAAACAGTGTGAAGAAAATGGAGATGGATCAGACACACTCTGAGGAGACTGTCGGATGACGTTCTACGCCTTGTTCCCGAGTGGAACCCGAACGGGAAATGAGGGACGATTTGGAAGTTCAAGGTGATCGTGTGAGAACAAGATGAAAGTTTATGGGCAATTATGGAACCAGCTGAAGTGGACCTCAGAGAAGAGGATGACTAATACGGTTTTTACTCCTTCTCTTAAAAGAACTTAAGAAAGAATAAATTCAGAAATTAAGTATATTCAGTCACTAAAATGTATTCACTAGTAATTCTTGTCTATCGTTCAAGTAACTGAATTTTACTTAAACTGTTATTATGATTATTATCATTATCAGGTTACTACCTTGAAGGTAAACGCATTTTAAACAAAGGACTTGTAAATTTAGAGTTCATTCCTATAACAACATCTTAAGTTCATTAGAACAATTGTATCTACATGACAATACTAGTGACCTCATGCATTTCAGGCTTTCTACATTTTTATACATGCTGTGTTTGATGTTAATGCTAAAGCAAACCACCCTGTTATTTACAAGGTTGTCATTTAAATTTAATGGGTTCAAATAATGTACAAATGGTACTGAATGCATCTAGTTTGCAGACAAGATATTTCATATTGTAAAACTATTCTGAAATTCCATAAACATAGCTATCTTTCGTTCATTTAACTCTTATATTTGACTCAACTTATATATTAATATCACTACAGTAAAATTCATGACAGCCTTACATCGATCTTTAGGTGTGTGAGTAAAATAACGTTTATCACAAACTACTAAGTGTTACCAATAGTAATCTATGAAAGTCACGTTCAAATATGCATACGTATTTTACTACAGAGCCAACCAAGAACCTATTGCCCAGTGAATGCACCCAAAGAAATGGAGATGGATTGGACATACGCCAAGAGGACCATTCAGTGGCATTCCATGCCAGGTAGGCTCTCGAGTGTAATGCGAATGTGAAACGACGAGTTGGTCGTCGGTGACATGGAGGAGATCATTTGAGGAGGATATGGGAGACTATGGGCAATAGTGAGCCTCAGTGGCACAGGGACAAAATGCTCTCCAACCACGTTACATGTGGCTTGGTGTTTGATCCCCAGCCACAGACGCGCTCCTTTACCTCACTAAGCCAGCAATAAGAGTGGTAGAGAAGGAAGGTTAGGCACGAGGCCAGCAACCCCATCCCATAATAATAAACACCACCGAAACTTCAAGCCTCTAGCTTGAAGCCCTATGCTCCACTGGGAATGTAAAGGGATAAAATAATAAATCAATGGGCAATAGTTGAGCCATCTAAAGACGACTGAAGTGAACAGGAACCAAAAGGAATGATAATATGTTGAGCATCAAAATCAGACTTGTATTTTCCCGTCCATCTGTCCGAAACATCCTCATCTTCAAGTGACCGACTATTTCTTGCATTATTATTTTCGTTCTCTTTACAGGAAGTCTAAGTTTCGTGAATTTGTTTGTGTCTCTGGCATTTCAGTTCCTTATTAGAAACCCAACAGTATATATTTCATAAGTATTATACAACTTCTTAAAAAAATGAATTCACTATGTCTTGATAAAACGTCTAAGACATTATATTCTATACCTATCACTGACACTTAGCTATTAAATGCTTTCGTTGACATTAAGACTTCTCAAAAAACTTTCATATTACGTAATGTTTTAAACTTTTAATGAAACACACGAAACCATTTATTTTTAAAATTCAGAAAGGTGAATAGTTCGAGTTCGGAAGAAACAGACATCCAGTACTCTGTCTATTTGAACGCTTTTTAAGTGATGTCAGTTAGTGATCTGACTTGTGAGGCAAAAACGTACAAAGTAAGGAAAACCGACAAACAGAAAAAGCTTTATCAGACAATCCTTTGTATATTCAATGGCTCAATGGCCATTGAATTAGGTCCCAGTGGCTGAATGGTATACGAGCCAGCTTGCCTTGTAACCGGAAGGTCCTAGGTTACGCTCACTGTTCCCATTCCTGTTTAATTTCACCATAGATCAACTAATGGAATTGACGCTAACTGACTTCAGCGACTGGACTTGTTACCAGGGAATAGGCTTGTTGACTTAGAATATGCGAATGATATAGTCCTTCTAGATGAAGGCCCTGATAAAATTCAGAGTCTTCTGAACAACTTGAGCAGTAGTCTTTATGTTTGGCATGCGATTCGCTCCTGCCAAGTGTTAGGTGATGCTACAGGACTCGACTATATTGACTCCTAGCTTGGAGATAGGGAGTGAAGTGAAGTGGTATGCCTGTGACCACTTCACCTATTTGGGAAGTTGCATCACCCCCAACGAGCTGATTGCTGACGGGATACCAGCATGGATGCAAAAAGTTCATGTGGCATTTGCCAACTTACGTCATCTCCGGTGTAGACGTGACATCCCGCTTCAAACTTGATCTTTGAAGTTTCAGTAGCAGGGGTATTATTTTTTTTAAAGATAGGTTTACTAGCCTCTCCCCTGAGCCTTACCTCTTTAACGGGCTTACTAAGGCCTAATCGAGGTTAACGAGTGCGTCAGTCGGGGACTGAACCCCTCACCAAAAGTGCCATTGGAAAGCATTCTGTTGCCAAACCACTGACGCACATTCGCCTACTTGTGTAACTGGAATTCTGGCAGGCTAAACTGATTTGGCTGAATGAGCCAAGTCTAACCGGATAAACATCGAACGTGATTCGCCCCCAGCAATCGAAATGTCTGCTTAATGTCTGGATCATCTCAATCTCAGTGGTGGTTTTGAAAGCCTTTATTCAGCTGTAAGCTTGACTTCTGTACCGCGCTGTGCTCACAATGAATGAAGCAATAGTGAAACTATCATTGTAAACTAAGGCTATTCAACCCGCTCTAACTTCATGTAGTTTTATAGATAAAAACATAACAATATCCTTATTATACTGATACATCAAATCAGTATCATAAAACGCAAAAAGATTTACCTTTTTTCACGCTCAGTCTTTTCCGTAATATGAGGATTAATAGAATAGCCGAAAGAATGAAAATAAATACACCAGCAATTATAATCCACATATAGGGTTTGTGATAAACGAGCATTGAAATGGCCGACTGTATGATGAAATTATCTGAAACAAGTGGAAAAAAGGAGATGAATTTTAATTTTCCCATCAGTTTATTATTCATGAAAACATGTCTAACTAAATGAACCTACGTACGATTGTATAAAATACGAACAATAGATAAATTAATGACTAAACCATTAAGTAATTATTGTTCCCTTGGGTTCCGAGTGGAACATACGGCTTCAACAGAATGTCTCCACTTTGCCACATTTTCTGCTGTTCTCTTTACCTGGTCTCACAATTGACCATATTCTCTGATCTCCTCCTCGCCACACTTTCTTCTCCATGTAGCCCACCATTCGCCATTCGAGTTACAATTAAGGTTCTTCCCGGTGCATGATGTCATTCGCCGGTATCCTCAGAGTGTGTCTCATCCATCTCCATTTTCTTCGGAATATTGGTTGAGCAATAGGCTCTTTGTTGGTTTGTTTCCATAGTGTCTAGTTGCTAAATTCCTTCAAGCCAGCCAGCAATTTGATTTTCACTATGGATCCAGCGAAGGCAGCCGTTGACAAAAGTACGCAATAGCCTGTCGGAAGTACTTTTCGTGAAGTACCATGTTTCTGACTCACATAGAAGCACTGATTAATTTAACATTGGTGACGAAAACCTGAATCTCGTTCTTTATGTTGAGTGCAGAAGCTTTCCAAACTGACTTCAGAGTGATGAAGCTCTGCCTTACCTTTCCGACTCTGGATTTGACATATTCATTCGTTGCACCTGTAGATCAAATGAAGGAAGTAACATCTTTCAAATATCTCCTGTTGAAACTGATTGTTACTGGTTGTTTTTGGTTGGTTATCTCCACCACCTCCATCTTCTCTATGTTCACATGAAGTCCTGGTTTCGCTGCTTCTTCAGCCAGTTTGTTGATTTTCACCTGTAAGTCTTCGAGTTTATTTGACATTAGACATAAATCATCTACTAAATCCAAATCTTCTACAGTCCTCTAATCACTACAGCGTATTTCTGTCCTCTAGCTCTCCACAGCCTGTCGCATAGTGCGGTTCCCCTTGATTAGAAAAATCAATGGTGATAATAAGCAAACACCGTTGTCTTACTCCTGTCTTCAATTCAAACTTCCTCAGTAATGCCAAGTAGAGTCTCCGAATTTGATTTGACAGACGCGGGGAAGGTATCTTTTGCAGTTTCGTCTTTCAGTTCCTCAGTGTTGACAACCACTATATATGCTATGAATAAAAAACTACACTTCTTGTGATCAAGAAAAGAATCAGCGTTTAAAATCTGTGACTATAATTTCATTGTTTCGCTCTGTGTAAGGAGTTGTCTAAATAACTCCAGTATCTTTTGATGCGACAACTATAGTACTCTAATGCACAGTTGTTTGTAATCTTCAACTTCCATTCATTATAAACCATAGGAAGTTTGCTTATAGGTCATCATGAATGTTACTCAACATCTATGAGACGGTAACTGCAGCACTAACAATGAAACTCTTCTATGTCATACAAAAATGCCTATTTATTATTTGACCGTCTCAATGAGGTGAATATAACAATGAGTTCAACCTTCTGTATCTTAATGTAAGAAGAATAAGAATAAGAAACAGTGGTAAGATCTTTAAGTCCATCTATAGAAAAGAGACCAGGATCAGACAATATCTTCACTGTAACAGATTCTGTCCTATGAGCCATAAGCGGGGATTAGTGAGGACACTGCACGACAGAGCCAAGAAGCTATTTTTCTTCAACAAATGAATGAAGAATTAGGCTTTATTGAGAAATACCTAAGGGAAAATTGGTATCCAAAGGGATTTATCCAAAAGTATAGCAAAGAAAAAGGTGAGAAAATGAAACATCCAACTGTTAAAAAAAAGAAAGTGTTTATTTGTCTTCCATTCATAGCAGAAACACCATCACAGAAGATTGAGAAGAGAATGAAAGGAAAACAGAAAGACGCTTCCTTGCAGCTAAGCTGGTAACACTATAAAGCACTACATTCTCTATAAGCCAATCGGAACTGGATAAGTACCCTGCTGATTTTACTTCCAACTGTTTTTTATTAAATTTACGGGAGATTGCAGCAGCAAATATATTGGAATAACAGAAAGGGGGCTTCCATCCATTTTTCTGAGCATATCCCAAGAAACGTATACCAAAAAGGGAGAAGATATTCGTAATCAATCTGTCAATTCCTTCATAACTGAATTTTGATTTCATTGATTGGTCATCCATATTAGTAATTTCAGCTCAGTGAATAAGTTTCCAATTTTATGAACTTTAATCTTCTGGAGTTGCTGTGTAAACTTACAAGTTAACACTGTTTATTAGGTTTTCCTTTTTTCTCTTCCCTCCATCTTTTCTACTTTGGAAGCGTATGAACTGATGGTAACTTAAACTGGAAATTGTAACGCTTACATTTTGGATGCATTAGCTGTTTTATAATATTTTCTTTACTACCATTTAAACATTGAAGCATGTTATTGTCATTCTTTTTTATAAAGGTTGTAATTTCAGGTAGTTTGCAGTTGACGAGAGGTTGTGAAATATAATGATGATATCATTTTATACTGCAAATCTGACCCTTTTTGCTTTATAGAAACCTATCAAGGTAACTAGATGCGTGAAAAACGTGTTTCTTCCACCCGTATCGTAATAGTTCTTATCCAGCTGAAAAATGTTACAAATTTAAGGCCACTGCCTTATGAAGAAAAGGTCTTTTCATTAACCAACATAAGGTAGAAACAACTGTCGGGGTTGAAGGTAGGTACTCCTCAAAGAGTCTCAAGGTAAGACACAATAGCTGGCCAGTGCTCCTTAGTCTTCCATAATTTACTGGTTGATATTGTATGGTGACTATGTTTACACTCATATCAGTTAAGATCATACAAACCAATACTTAAGAATTATAGCTATTCGTTGTATGTTAAGCCTTTCTATACACTGCTAATGGCAAAGTTAATTTATGCAATTTAGATATATGACGATAAATACATAATGATATAAATTTCTGGAAAAATGAATTTGTAGTTAGAGTATCTATTTCGCATGTGACAGTTAGTCTCCAGTGTTACGGAAATTATCACTGAAAGTGGTCATACCTTCATGCTGAGCAACCTTAAATACTTCATCACTAAAAGTTTTATATAAAATGTACCTTTTTCGATACTTAAGCTGTATCTTTCACCCCACTGTTTTATCTGTTCTGCAAATTTTACGTCTTCATATATCTTATCTAACCCATCGTACAGGGCATGCCTTGGATACGCGGAACTGCCCTTTCCTTGTATGAAATTGTGTTTTGGTCAGTTTGAATTTTCTTTTGATGGATTCTGTTACACCTTAATGTTCGGTCCCCGTTGACATATCGGCTCCTATTGGGAACGCTTTGACTATGCCTGAGAATTGAAGTGATGCTATATTAGTTGGTGATGACTAGCAATGGAATCCACCATGATATGTTTTTCGTTCCATTTAACACTCAGCTTCTGGATGTACCTACATTTCCAGTGATTGATGTTTTTCCCACAGGGACTAGAACTCTGCGTTCATCATTTCAAATGTCAAAGTGCTATCCACTAGGCCCTTGGTGGTTCATGAGTTTGTGGTTGTGTCTTCCATAAACTGCTATTGGCTGAGTTAAACTTTAAGCATCACTAACTCCTAATCAGCGAATGACCTCGAACGCCTCAATCACGTGAAGAAGGCATTTTTATGTGAGGAATACATATATTTATGAAAACAAATGTATAAAAACTGTATAAAAGTGTTACAGTGGGTATCTTGCCCTCATATTTGATAAAAATAGTTCTCAGTTTTAAGTTGGAGTATCAACAAAGTATAATTCCATTGTGGGTTAAATTTATTTTGATAAAGTCTCACGGTGTTATACACTAATATATACTGAGCGATAAATTGTGCTCGAAACGTCATCAGTAAATATTACTGTATAACACCCTGAGACTTTTTCAAAATAAATTTTGCCCACAATGGAATCATACTCTATCACATTGCACAAGTTCTATTCTTATATCAACAGAGTAATGTAACCACCTTCTATGCACGTAATTATTTAGGTTTTCTTACTCTAACAAGAACCCTAATCTTTCCTAAACCTAACTCTAACGTGAAAATATCCCTAAAGTAACTGTAATCTAAATGAAACCAACCCTAATGTCGCCTTTATTAGGATAACCTAACCCTAATTTGTCCTTGGCTTAAACCGTAACTTAATCTTTCTCAAGCCCTAGGTGAAACTTGGCAGATATCCCATTACATAACATAACTCTTTGATGAGCATGTCTTATTGATGATGACAACATTATTTGCCAGGTTCCACTAACTTGCTCAGTGAGCGTTTAAAGGTCATTGGTGTGGTCGCACTCCATCGGGAGTTAGTGGTGCTTAAAGTTTGTCTTGGCCCTGCTATTAAATTTCAGTTACAGGTGTCCAACTAAGTTCTGATAATACATATGCTATCAATATCAAGAATCGCAGCTATTTAAAAATTTATTATCGAAAACCAATTCAAATGAATTAATTCATTTAATGAAATAAGTTAAATAATTCTACGAATTATAAGTTAATTATAACAGATGTTAGTTAGATGAAAAATCATTGCCTACAATGATGAGACAGTGATAATTTAAGTTCAGAAGAAAAGTCTGATGTCTTGCCTATTGCCAGTACCCTGTAAACAGGGTATTATTACACAATAAAAGGCTCAAACTTACCGTCTTCATAAAACCAATCTGTTGCATATGTTAAACCTCCAGTTTCATCATAAAATCTAAACTGGTAGGTCAATTTCTCCTTATCCGTCCAGTAAACTTTGATTGCTTCAATATCATTACTCGTAGTTTTATCCCGCATTAAGTTTTTCTCCTCTAACGTTTGGTTAGTCTCATTTCTTTGTCTCACATTAGATAAATTTTTCTCTGTATAACTGTTTGAGTAGATTATTGGAATTTCAATTCTTCCCTGCTCAGGATATTCAATTAATTTTTCGATACATTCATTTGGCAGTGAATTAATTCCGTACATATTATTTGACGGCAAACCTGACGACTCCAGCCATGGGCCATAATTAGGTCTTCTGTGAATCTTTTCTATCAAATGTGATGAATAGGCACACTCATTATCTGTATTTCCTGACAATTTATTACGTTCAGAATAATAAGAAGCGCATATTCTCAATGAAGCTTTCCATTTCAGCTGTTGTCTGTTATCATTTAGAGAAGATTGAGGCGGTGAACTTTTTCTGTTTACAGTCGTCTCCAACTCTGTCTTCATATCCTTTTTATTCTTGCCTGAATCATGATCTCTGGTTTTCTCAGACTTTAGAAGGTACAAAGGATCAAAATAAACTCGAATATGCGATTGTTCACGTATGAAACGAATAATTTTTACAGTCACTGGTGGATCACCTGAAATAGAATATAGACATAATGTAGAACATTTTAAGGAAAAAGTTAAAACGATATTTAAATTTTTGATTGGCTTTGAAAAACTAAGAGGGTATTTCAGTGGATATGAGTTGTATCTACAATCTATATTGAGTACATAAGTCGACGGAAAGAACGAATTGCTGTGTATTAAGAAAATTTACTTTCATTTGAGAATAATAGTAAATTGAAAGAGGTTACTTTAGAAAACCTGAAGTTTTCCTATGAAGTATTATGGAATTTCCAGATCACTGAGATTGTTGACTACAGAATAATGCACAAGATCATTATGTTTAATCAAATGCAAGCAGTGAACTCACGGAATCCTTCGAAGTGAAGACGGGAGTAAGATAAGGCTGGCTGGCTGCCTACTATCTCCAGTGATTTTCCTGAATCCGGTAGACTGGATAAAGTGAAAGACAGCGGGCAATGAGGAAACAGGCATAAATAGGACTCACACAGAAAACGCAGAGGATCTTGACTTCGTCGATGATATATGTCTGATTTCCCAAAAACTGGAAGATATGCAAGTGAAAAGCAGCAAGTTGGCAGAAGAAGCATCAAAGATAGGACTTCAGGTGAACATAGAGAAAACAGGCGTGATGAAGATTCCTGGCCGACAGCCACAACCATAACAACAACAATCAGCTAGTATAAATGGGAGAAGTCAAAAAGAAGCAACCTCCTTTACCTACCCACCTACCTGGGAAGCATCGTTTCAAATACAGGCGGAACTGACAAGGATATCAAAGCAAGAATCGGAAAAGCAAGACAAGCTTTCACTACTCTCAAGTCTGTGTGGAGGTCAACAACATTCACCATCAAAAATAACATCCGGATTTTCAACTCCAATGTGAAGTCAGTGCTACTATACGGATGGATCAGAGACTTGCACTGCGCGTCATAAAGAGCATCTCAAACAAACTACAGACCTTCATTAACAGTCGTCTTCGCTCAGTACTCAAGATCAGATGGCCGGCCAGAAAAGATCAGCAACAGAGATCTCTGGCAGTAAACGAAACAACCAGGAACCGATTGTGAAACAAATTGGCAGGAAGAAATGGAGGTGGATTGGTTATACTCTGAGGAAACCATCAAGTTACATCACTAGACAAGCCCTTGGGTGGAACCTGAAAGGAAAGCGACGAGTTGGTCGTCAGTGCAAGGGTGACTTGAAGGAGGTCATGTGAAGAGGAGATGAAAGCGTGTGGGCAGACTTGGAGCCAGGTGAAGACTCTAGCAGAGAACCGAACGCAATGGAGACGCGTGGCTGAAGCCCTATGTTCCTCTAAGAATTAAAGGAAACAATAATAATGCCTATAGGCAAAATTACCACATGACGCTTCATTGCACAGGTACTTTTCCTAAGTGAGTACTCTCTTATATTAAAAAAAAACAACTAGTGGTAGAATAAAGCAAAATATGTTAACTTACCTGGAGGTTGTACTTGCATAAAAAATTGTCTCCTTCCTGTTTCATGTTCAACCTCACACATATACTCTCCATAATCCTTTTCTGTGATTGGACTTAAAAATAATCGATAAATTATAGTTGGTATCTTACGTAATGTCTCTTTAATTTTATTTTGACTACCATTTTTATTGATTTGTTCATCGCTGTCGTAGTATGGTAACTGAATGAGTACTACATCAGTCCAAATTCGTTGTCCTGTGTTTACCGCTTCAGATATCTTTGATGGTGACCAGTTGTCATGGATTAATTCTTTTTGAAGTATTTCAACTTCAGATGCTATTCTTTTTGTTTTAACTTTGTACCAAGCGAATGTCTTTTTGAGCATACTGACTTTATTTGGTGTTTGTATGTCAATCGCATCGAAACCACAATTTTTGGATGAAGAATGTTTAGTTTTAGTTCTTTTTGAATTCTCAGTGATGAAAGAAGGTATTGGATAAGTCCAGATATGTAGTTCAATTACTGTTTGTGAACCAAGTGCAGCTGTAACTGAAGTTATTCCCGGTGGTGCCAACTCTGGTGGGACTAAAAGTGTATGCGTTAATAAATAACTATTCGTTAGGAATGTACAACTGCATATGAAATATCACTGTACTTAAAAAACACGTTAATTACTATATAAAAGTGAACAGTAAAAGATTAAAGACTTTAATTACTTTCGTTAAGTTAGCTTGGAGAGTATCTTCAACGGAAAGTTTTAGGAGTGTTTATTCAGTCGTGCAATACAGCTTTATGTTACAGATTATAGTTTGCTTCCACACCGTATTTTCGTTACTAGTATGGAATTTTCAGCATGTGATATCGGTGGACCAAATTTTGCAGGCCGACCATTGATATCATGGTGTGCGTCGACAGGGAATCGAACCCCGGACCATGTGTATGGCCACCGAGACACAGACAGACCTTCATCATTCTGATGTTGGTTTGGAAATCTTCTGCACACAGTAAGCTTAAAGAACAAAATTATGGTTTTCAACGCCAACGTGAATTCAGTCAGTTCTTCTATACGGATCAGTAACCTGTTACACGCGTCACGAAAAGCATTTGCAACCTGCTTCAGAATCTTAATAACATCTGCTGATGCTATCTCTATACTGAAAACCAGATGGCTGGCCAAGAAGAATAAGGGACAAAAACTATTGGAACGAACCAGTCAAGAACCTACTGCTCCAGAAATATGTAGAAGAAAATGGAAACGGATCAGACACACTGAGGAGGCCATCGGGTGACATCGCGAGCCAGCCAGAACCTTCAACGGAAACTGAAGGAGAAACGAAGAGTTGGGTGTGTGTTCGACAGCTAAATGAAGGAAATCTTGTGAGGAGGAGATGAAAGCGCATGAACAGTCGCGGGACCAGCTGGAAAGGACTTCAGAGAACAGGACAAAATGGTGACGTGTTGTTGAGGCCGTGTACTCCAATCGGAACACAAGGGAGTAATAATATTAATACACACAGTGTAGGTCGGTAGAAGCAAATAAAGCTTCCTTTGGATGAAAAAACATATTGCGATTTCTAAAATTATCGCTTGCAACAGTATATATATATATGATAACTCCTTGTAATTATCTCTTAAAATACCCCACATAGCAACAAAAATGTCTGCATAGAATTACGGTATATCTGGTCATATTTAATTTTCAAGCGACTTTCCTTTTACTTTTCGACTGAAGTAGTTGTAGGCAGCTTTTCTATTGATTCTTCGATTTTTTGGAATGATTGGCTAAGCACCACTTACATAAAGCATAGAAGCAGCAACCAGACTACAGGTGCAACCCAAGTTTTATACTTCGAAGTCATAGGAATAGATTCGAAACATATATATGCTTTGCGTGACTTACACCTGAATACGGTGATTTTGACTTTTAACAAAAGATGACTGTTACAGTGACAAAGATTTTCTTAGTACTCAGATATTTAGTATGTTCATCTGTACTGTACTAAATGTTAAAATGCCAAAGTTCATACATAACTACGTGAAATTACTTCCATGGCAATATCGATTTTTGTTCATTTATCATTTCGTCAATTATCGTCACTTTCCAGTAGTTTCCACAATGTTTTAACAACTTCGTCATTTCCCACCTAATAGTCTTTCGTTCTATTAAAAAGCTTTTCTTCTTATCCGCTAAAAAATAGTATCGCATTACTTTTCTCCTTTGTCTTAGTCTTTTTGAAGATCTTTGAAATTCAATTCAATTCAAGTTTGACCATGGATTGGCATCACTTAGGGAGTACTGGAGCTGCTTCATTCTTAATGGGAACTCATTGGCAGTACCCAGCCACTGGAGTGGGTACGCTGATAGATAGTAGACCATTCAGCCCCTGGGACACAATTAAATGGACATTAAATTCCAACGTTTACCTATTCGCGATTTTATCTCGATTGGAACCAACCAATGTCATCACCGGGGGATTTTTTTCCCACTCACGACGAGATGGACCTCACTGGCCTTACTTAATCACTAGAACCCCAGTCAGCTTCATCCTGTAGCCGGTCGGTAGCACGCACCTGATTAACTGTCAAGGGCTTATTCGTAGGGATTTGATTTGTTTCAAGTTTGGTCACGGATTAATAACACCTAAAGAACTATTGAAATCAGGGAGAAATTCTCATTTAAATTTCTTCCGAACACTGCAAACCTATTCTCTCATTCACCTATGAAATATCCTACTGGTTTTCAAATAGCATATCTATTCTTACTGCAAGTCACCGATTTCTGAACAACTTCACTAGGACGAGCTTGCCTTGTAACCAGAAGGTCCTGGGTTCAAAACCCGGTGCGTACTGTTGGAGAGTCCCAAACTAGGTGGACGAAACAGTTTTCCAGTACTGCCAGCTGGTTTTCCAATGGTTCTCTAACTGATGTCAGCTCATTATAAAATCCTCCAATCAATAAGTGAAATAATTCAAGGATAACTTACATGCAAAATCCAAGTTTCTTGTAACTTGTGAAACTCCAGCTGGGCCTTCAAGTAAACACGTGTATTCACCAGCTTGTTTTCTTCCAGGATGACTAAAAACCAACTTGTTCGATGTTCGATGTGGCACTTTTAAAGTATCAAACACTATTTCTTGATTTTTATACTCCATCCAGTTATCTGGATAATGAGGACGAAATTTCCAATAGAATTTCCACATACTGCTTTCATCATGACGGAGTATACGATTTAACACGGAGACACTTGCATTGTTTCGGGATTTCATTTGGTTATATTCGGCAGTATAGTCTTCTTCAATATATCTTGGTCGACCGCCTTCTGCTTCACACAGAAGTGTTGTCTGATCAGATTGCAAGCGCTCCTGCCATGTTTTTGGTGAGGTGAGCATTTTCAACTCCGGTGGATCTATGGTTAGTGAGAACAAATAATTATAAATGGCTTAATGTTAATTGGGAAATATCTTGTTAAAGAATATGAAGTAGCAATGAAATGATGTGAAGGACTGAATATTATATTAATCAATCTTATGTTTAACACTTCCTTCTCTGGGCTTCAGTTTTTCTTGCTTTTGATTCCTCAATATTTTTTAGCTCAATATTTGCAATTAATAGTGTTCTCTGAGCTGGTTGGTTTAGTTGCGGAGATTTCGTCGTCCTTCTGGACAACATCTTCAGCGCCATTTTTAGCACAAAGTGGAATGATTCAAATTTCTTCATGAGTGATATAACTCTGTCTCCTGGTAACTATCTTTATATATGTATTAAACTTTTTTAATTCGACTTTAAACAGTTTTTGATGAAATTTTGTGGATACCCATTCTTTTTTTTCTTTTTGAAGACCGTCTTCAAAAAGAATGGTTATCCACAAAATTTCATCAAAAAGTGTTTAAAGTCGAATCAAAACACCGACAAGAAACCATCATCAAAGACCACAAGAAAGTTCATCCTACCATACATGAGGAATATCTCTGAAATAACAGCTAGAATACTGAAACCGTTTGATATAGATATAGCACATAAGCCAGGCAAATCGCTTAATTCGATATTATGCAAACCGAAAGATCCAACAGAAAAATGGGATAAAATTAATACCATTTACAAAATAAATTGTATAAACTGCAACAAGCATTACATCGGCCAAAGTGGGCGTCCCTTTCGAATAAGAATTCAAGAACACAAATCAGCCGTGGAAAGACACGATATGTATTCTTTAGTATCAATGCATATAGGCAATTGTGGTCATCAATTTGATTGGGATGATGTCAAAATCTTAGACAGAGGAAACACTAAAAGTCCCAGGGAGTTCCTAGAAGCCTGGTACTCAAACGAAAATGCAATTAATAAACACATTAATCTAGACGAAATATACCAACTGATAAAAAGTAAATCAGGTGACCGGAAAGTTTAAAACCCAAGTCAATAGAAAATGGTCACTACATATGTAAAGATGGTTACCGGGAGACGCAGTTATATCACTCATGAAGAAATTTAAATCATTTCATTTTACGCTAAATATTGTGCTGAAGGGGGATGTTTTCCAAAAGGACGATGAGAGCTCCGCAACTAAACCAACCAGCTCAGAGAACACTATTAATTGCAAATCATCCACCTAAGCTATAAATCTCTATTATTACGCTTAATATACTAATGAAGAATTCTATTGACCAACTGGTATTTTGTCATCAGCTTAGTTCACATATAAAACTACTTGTTGTGAAGTGACAACAACAGTTGAGAGTTGTTGATATTAGATGGTTGGAGGCAATCTGCAGGAAGGCTTGAACCTAGGTTTCGTGCTAGCTGGCACTCATCAGCAAGGCATATCTGTAACCTCAAAGGAACTCGTGTCCCTTCTGAGATTTGAAGACGCGTCACCCAGTGCTGCAGTCGGAGACGTTACCACTGAGCTATTCAGGCTCGCGACTGACCTCCTTTAAGACTTTATTGGATATTTCTGATTGGACACTAGTCAGTCACTAGTATAATATATCTAGTGCTATCTTCGGTGTAGACTGAATTCTATCAGTCAAGTTTGCAATGTGGCCACCATCCTAGGTGTTTGATGGAATTCAGTCCGCACCGAAGATAGCACTAGACATATTATACTAGTTACTGACTAGTGTCCAATCAGAAATATTCAGTAAAGTCTTAAAGAAGGTCAATCACCAGCCTTAATAGCTCAATGATAACGTTTGTGACTGGCTGAAACATTTGTGAGGCGGATTCGAATCTCAGAAGGGACATGAGTTCCTTCGAGGTTGCAGATACGCCTTGGTGACTGACTGATGAGTGCCAACTAGCACGAAACCTAGGTCCAAGGCTTCCTCTTGACTGACTCCAACCATCTAATGACTACATTTCAAACTCCACCATGATAGCAAGTCACCTAGCATGGTGGCCACATTGCAAACTTAACTGATAGAACTCTGTCTGCACTAAACAAAGAAATGGACGCATGACACTGGTTGCTAACTAGTATCCAATCAAACTCAGTTGGTGATATATCATAATGCTTGAAAACACGATTTTACGAAATAAACATGACTTTCACAGTTACATGAATATTGTAAGTAACTGTGAGATGAAAATGCTTTAAATGCATATTCAGTAGGTGAAAAATATTGCTTTTAACAATCAATTTTCCAGTGAATTCATTCTCAGAGAGAAGACCAGTAGTTCAGTGAAGAGTCCCTTTTCGGTGAATTCATTTTCACAGCTGTACAATCGCAAGTAATACATGGGTTATTTCGCATGTATTTTTGTGTACATTGAGTTTGTCAAACAAAAATACAACTGGTTATGCTTATTTTAAATAAACAGGTGAGAATTAGTAAGTTTTAGGTGGAGTTATCATATACAAAAAGTATTCCGAGGAATTGGATGTTGATATAAGAGGATAGTAACAAAAGTGATGGGTTGTCACAAACGATTGTTAAAGAAGAGTTACGTAATAATAAAAATATTCTTTTAAAATAGTTGTTCTCAGGGTGAACATGTAAACAAAATAAAATACGGAACTACGCAAGAGTTATAGGTAGTTAGAAAAACAAGCAAAGAAGGAAAAGTTAAGTCAGATCAACAGAGTTGTTACCATGATAGTAGAAGTGGCTGAATAATTTTCTTTTGTATGCATAGTTCTGATTCTTGCAGCCGAATGGCAAAGACAATACGTTTCCGTCTTCTTAGCATTGCAGAAGCCCTAGCCATTCAGTTAGAAGAACCAGAACTATGCATACAAAAGAAAATTATTCAGCCACTTCTTTTACCATTGTAACAAGTCTATTGACCTGACTTAACTTTTGCTTGTTTGCTTGTTTTTCTAACTACTTAAAGCTCTTGTGTAATTCCGTATTTTATTTTATTTCCATGTACACCCTGAGCACAACTCTTTCATCAAACTATTCATGATGTCACGTAACTCTTCTTTAACAATCGATTGTGACAACTCATTACTTTTGTTACTACCCTCTTATAATCAACATCCAATTCCTCTGAATACGTTTTGTATTACGTAACTCCACCCAAAACTTAATAATTCTCACCTGTTTATCTAAAATAAGCATAACTAATTGTATTTTTGTTTGACAAACCCAGTGTACACATACATACGAAATAACCCATATATTATTTGTGATTGTACAGCTGTGAAAATGAATTCGCCGAAAAGAGACTCTTCGCTGAACTACTAGTCTTCTCTCTAATAATGTTAGACAGAGGATTTTTCATGAATTCCTTCAAACTGACTGAAGAGGTCCATTAAAAATTTATAAGACTGATTAGTGAACAAAGAATATTCTCTTCAATAAATTCGTCATCAGGTCTTACATTTATATGAAAGTAATAGCTAAATAAATATAGTTAATAACAACACTAATGTTCTTTTAAATTATACTGAATCAGTAGTATCGACAGATTACATTTCAAAAGCATCAGTAAGAGAGAGATAATATACGTAAGTATAACACTAAACTTCCTGAACACCAGATAAATTCAGCGAGGTAACATGGAATTTATCAGTTCATAGGTTCGACAACAGGCTAGTGCAGTAATAGTGACTGGACATGTTTGGTTGTTTTTAGCAAGTTGCAATGACCTCTGCCGTCTAGATTGTTCTGTATTTGCAGGCCTTTGACAATTTATTCGTTACAGCACCTCATAGATGATAGAGGAAGATTCTTCAGTGCTAACCTTGTTGTCTGTTTGGCCGAAGTGCTCTAATACAAAACTGTTGATGGTTTTAACAACTTCTTTATTTAGCCACACTAGTAAATGCTGTATTCCTGTCCATGGAAAATTAAGTTCCTAGATCAACGTCCAATATAACTGGCTCCTTAGGAGAAGTCGAACTGATAGATACAATACGAGATGACCAGCCTGTAAAATTGGTCTTTCAGCTTTGGAATCATATTTGGTTGTGCGGAAAATATTATCTACAGCTTTCCATCAATACGTTTAGTCGATTTGCGGGTCTTCTGTTCTATTGGTTGGAGGATTTCATCATGAGCTGACATCAGTTAGAGAACCATCGGAAAACCTGGGGTACTGTACAGCCAGCCGTTTCGTCCTAATTCGGGACTCTTCACAGTATGCACCTACCATAGGGGTCCTAACCCAGGACTTTCTGGTTACAAGGCGAGCTAGCAAACCAATCAGACGCTGTGACTCAATACAAAGGCCCATGAATTCTAACTTCTGCCAATTCAGGACATAGCGCGACCACTTCTCAATGTCTTCTTCGTTTAGTTACTGCCTCACCTTCAACCTGCTGTACTCTACTGGTCACGGCTTCCCACTAAAACCCCAGTTAACAGAACAATTTTTTCAAGTATTGGTTTTGTAGGGATTTTGTTTGATTGGTTGGAGGATTTCATCATGAGCTTCTGTTCTAATCAAAATTCACAAAGACAGCCACCACAACATTGTATCATCGAGGCACGACACTAGAAAGGAAGAAGACAACCTGTTGGGTGGACAGCTTTTACTTTATGAACCAACAGTGATTTTCACACTACATCTCCCTGTTGTGTCACAGCATAACCCACATACTGACTGAAGATAAATTTTAACTTATTTACTAAGGTCCATTTATTAAGTTGTTTGGTATTTATAAGTTCGGCACGTCATTAACATTTACAAAGGCAGAACTGTTATGCATCCGATGACATTATTGAAATGAAATACACCCACAGATATATACACACACACCTTGACTATCGGTAAATGGATAGATTTTCACAAATAGGATAATCACTACTTGATGACTGGATAAATATTCACTTCTACTAAAATACAATTCATAATAGTTTCTAAGTAATGGCTTCAAAGACAACTTTGTCATGTATAACCCTGTTTTTATTATTCATGTGAAATGTTTTGTATTATATTGACTAATAGTATAATACGCGT